GTATATTGCTAAAATTAATTATTAAAATTTTATTATAAAAATTAATTTTAAAAAAATTAATACAGGCAAATTTGCTTGTATTACAATCTAAGGGATAAGAAGACATCATCAGATTGGTAGTATTCTATTGTAAGGCAGCAGTCAGACAAGCTGTCTACCTCTGTTTGGGGTAGTGTGACAGGTCATATTTAGGTACCAATAAGGTGACTAAATAATGCTGAACTTAAATATTAGAATAATTCTTTGTAATCTGTATAGTATTAAGAATTCTAATAAAGTACTAGTGTAACTGCTTAAGTTAAAAAAAAAACAACTAATACAGTTTCTTTAGTAAGAAAAACTTTAAAATCAAATTAATATCTGAAGAGCTACCTACCTATTTCCTTTTTCATTAAAAAAATATTACAAAATATTTAAATCACTTCTGATTAAGATGTTATAATATCTTTAAAACTATTATATATCTGTTAATATACTTCTAAAATTATCTGAATTTTGCAATATTAATAAAATATACAATGTACAAAATCTCAAACAAGTTAGAAATATCTTGTTATGATACAAACAATTTTATTTAAGTCTTTATCTACAATCACTTCAACAAACAAATATCATTAAGACTAATAACTAACATTACTTTAACATTATTTGAAAACAACAAATACAAATATAAATATGCTCTCTTTGTTCATTATAATATTATTTCTATAATATATAAAAAAATTTAACTTATTTTTAGAGTAATACAACATAAACCAACTTTTACAGTTTTATTACTATTACAACTATCAACATTAGTCAAAACTACACAATATCAAGTTCCTTACTAAATAAAAAGATACAATACTATGTTATATATAAACAATTTTTTTTTCATCAGCTTATTAAAGACTAGAGATTTACCAACTATTTTAGCAAAGAATAGGTTGGGAATAAAGTAGCTTTTACCTTCATCTCCTCTAGTATAGTTTCTTTTTCATGTATTTTATATATATGTATAATTAACTAATTAATAAAAGAGATAGAAAATAGACCTCTTTTTTTTTTTAAAAAAAAAAGTAATTTTATTACAATATCAGTTTCTTTAAAATATTGCTTTTTTTTAAAAACTAATACTTAATCTTATTATTTATGTTTGTAATAATTTTAATAAATTATTATAAATATTATTAAAATATTATAATTATGTGTTTAGAATTTCTAGTTTTCATCTGGCAACATTCAATTAAATATCAAATGCATTCATTTATTTGATAATTTTAATAATATTATAATTTCACCCAAATTCAAATAGGATGGATCAGTCCTGAAAAGACCGAATAAGGACCAGTCTTTTAAACCAGTCTTATGCTTAACTGACCCTCAGCCTTGAGACCAGTCTGGACAGTCCTTATGAATAATTAAAATAATATATGTTTCATTTTCAATTACCGACGTCATATGATTTGATTTTCTCTGCTAGCCAATAAGATGTTTAGAGGGCTAAATAAGGACCGTTATTGGGACCGAAAAACATTAATGTTTTATAAATAGCAATTATTTTTATTTTGGGAGTTGGTTTTTTCGGCAAGTATAGATATCATCTGTTCTTTTATTTGTGATTTATTCAATAGAGCATTGGTTGCCATTAAAACATTAATTATTACATTATTGTTTCTGCAAACAAAAAAAAAGCATTTAATCCGTATGTTACAGTCTTTTACGTATTAGGAATTAGGCATTCATTTTTGCTTTTAGATCATTCATATGTTTTAAATCATATTTCTTTGATTTATTGACTGTGAATCATTAGTATAAATAATTGTTATTAAAAAAAACAAAAAAAGCGAATACATATATTTTGTTACATTATTGAGGCGTGTTCATTGTGGATTTGTACGCAATAATTGTGATATAAGAAATTTCACTCAGAAAATGCACACTCAAAAGTCAGTAATTTCATACGTATGATTTTTCTAACTGCAAGTTTAATTAAAATTAATGCGTCACTTAAAAAATAAAAATAAAAAAATCCGTTTATGTGTATATTTCCAAATAATGAGAATTGAAAAGTTAATTACGTTGGTACCGCGGCTCTACCGCGATAGTAAGAGATTTCACCATATAATTTCCATAGTCATTTTTTACAAAATTTCTAGTACCATTTTCCAATGCGACATCCGTACCATTATTTCCCCACCACTTAGTTTCAACACTTCTTGTTTCTTCTTGGCGCATTTTTTCAACAACCGGTTCAACCTCAATCTCACCAATCACATGAATTTGTCCACCCTCAGTCCCACTTGATTCATCATCACTATTAACATCATCTTGTACCTTCTTGACACCATTGGCATTACATCCACCGTCAAAACTTTCGCTATTAGCCCAATATATCATTTCAATCCCTTCTTTTGAAAAAAAAGTACAAAATATTAGTGCTGCAACAGAATCCACCCACCAACCTTTCTTCCATAATATATAAATTAAACTACTGCAAAAAAGCACTATGGTAATTTTTATACAAGCGAGTGAACATTGTGCTTCAGATGCCATTGTAGAAGAATCCAATTGCACTGCCAAATATCTTTTACAAAAATAAACCGTTAACATAATTACAGTTGATATACTAGAAATAATAATACCCGACATAGTATTATCAGGGTGGCTTTTTTGTGTTAAAGAGATTATTGCATGTAAAAATGTTCCTAAGGCCAAAAGAATAAAAAGACATCCAATTCCTAAAGTAGCTTTACGTTCTTTATCAAGATATTTATCCTTGTGATTCATAGAGATCATGGATGTTTCCTGAGATGATTCGGTAGCAAATCGCCACAAGACCAAAGCAGATGATGTCACTTCAACAAAAGATCCAATTCCAAAGATGATCAAGCTAACAGAATTAGATTGTCTTCCGAAAAACATAGAAAGTATTCCTTCAACAATATTCAGTAGGATAGTTATAATGCTTACGAAAAGTACAAGATTAACAAGTTGTGGGCGCGTTAAAGGCGTAGATAAAATAGCCATTATGACGTATAGGTTTCACAATATTCAAATAATAATAGGTCGTAGATGGATGAATCGTGAAGTTCTTATTTAAAGAAAACGGATCAAATTGCAAGATTGATGCTTTACAATATGATCGAAAGAAAATCAGCATCTTCTAATTTCTTTGATATCAATAAAAAACATACATAAAATATTTTGAAATAAATGATTGCATATAATCGGTTTAAATAATTTTGTTAATTATATAACGTGGTGCGCGTTGGGTTCTTCTGACATGGATAATTTCAATAATGACACGTGCAAAAATTTGACGTAGAAATGTATCCGTGTCACGTGCCGTAAGACAATTGGAAGGTTTTCGTGTACCGTATCATCGCGAGACACATAACTTAAAAAGACCTAAAATTTTTAAAAAATGAAATTTATTTTTCGCATCTCAACCAAATTAACACGTAAATTTCTTTAAATTGTGCCTTACAATAACGCCAGGGGCATTATTTCACGCAAATACGGTAACCATAGTTAATGCTGAAAATGTGATCCGTTGAATATTTAAATATAATGGATTATTAGATACAGTATTTTATAGTAATATCGATAAATTTGCTGTAAATTAATAACAATTTTGCGGGTATCCGGATCCTATCGTTATCTCTAATCATGTCGAGGTTCATGATTCTAAAAGTGATAACGTTTGTTAATTTCGTTGCGACAGCACATGAGTATTTGAAATTTGATTTTTTCCAGTTTAGAAAACACATTCTGCAAATTTTTTTAAAAAAATTGCTAGTTCAGACTTTGAAAGATCAATATACCTTGATAGAAAACATAATGAACAACTCTTTTTATACTTAATTGATAGTTCTTATAATAAACTTTATTATGTTTATATACTGAACTTAGCAGTATTTATTAATTTGTAACTTTAGCAAGCGAAATTTGCTTATTTAGATATTATAAAATTAGCTTTTATTTACTTTTTTTAACATTTTTTTAAATATCAAAGGTGATTTTTTTAATTTTTTTTTTTAATATTAAGGTGAGTACATGCGACTCAGGAGTTTATTAATAATATTTAACTTGTGGCTGTTTGTACAACAACTACAGGAGTAATCAGGACCTCGGAAACTTATATTAAATGTCCCATCATGTAGACTAGGTAAAATTTATATTAAAAATTTTTAAAGCTTCTAGACTAGATTAAAAGTAAATTTTATAATATTTTAAAAATGTTCAAGTTTTTATAAGGTAAAATTTTTTTTGCTTCCCAGCTAATATAAGAGTAAATTATTAATTATTTATAAAGGTTCCTATTAATAGTATAGGTAAAATTCTAAATGTATTTATAGAGTTTATTTACTATAATAAAATTTTATATTATATATCAAATATGCAGATTAGTAATCCTATCTAATAGTGAAAAAATCAGCTTAGCTAGTCAATTTTTTTAAAAATTAACTGATCAATTTTATTATAACATTCTAATATAGAAAATAAATAAAATTAATTTTTTAAAGGATACTGAAATTTTAATAAAAAATTGACTAAGTTAGCTAAGTTGATAAAATTTTATTAGCTTAGCCGATTAAAAAATTTTGATCAGCTAGGATCACTAATGCAGATAACTCTTTTTAGATTGTACTTTGCTAATCTTTTTTCTTAAATTAGTTCAATAGGAAAAAAAACAATGTAAGGATTATATAATATGTAACATTTAATCTTTTCTCAAGTTATGATTAGAATTGATTAATTTTTTTTTCATTCGATTCATCTTACTAAAGTAAATCATTAAAAATGTTTAATTGTATTACAAGATATAAAAAATGTGAGTGTACAAAATATCTCGTACTAGAATATCTGATCTTTCCTTATATAGCATTAAAAAATAAAAAATAAATATATATATAGTTAATAACTTATACATAATATTTATATGTATGTACTTTGCAGATAAATATTAAAATTTGTATAAAATAATTAGTATATATTAAAAACATTCTTTTATAAAATGAAAAATAATGAAGAAAAAAATTCAAAAAAAATTTTATACAATTAACTTTTGATTTTTCTATATTACCCATTAAATATCCTAATTTAAATTACATTAACCGTAATGAAATAATATCTAATACAATAAATTAATTACAACAAACTACTCTTAATTTCTCTTCAATTACTTATAAGAAATGTAGTATAGTTGATTCTAGTTTACCAATTAATAATAATAATATTGATATAGAACAATTAACAGATAATGATATTGATATAAAATAATTAACAGATGATAATAAGAAATTTAATAAGCATAGTAACTTAAATAAAGATAGTAATAATGAAAAATATAACCAACTCTCCCTGACGATCACTCGTACCGAATTTTTTACAAACGACGAGCAGAAATTTGTTAGAAAGAAAAGGAAAGG